ACAAAATTTAAATTATTCTACAATAATTTCTAACAATTTAATGGGATATTTGTTGCAATAAATCTTCAGCAATTTTTTTCAAAATTTGGTTCCCACCTTGTTAACTGACAATGAATGATGCATCAAGCCTGTTTCTCTTTTTTAGTTTTTGTCACAAATACATTGTTAAAATGGTAAAACTTTTCTTTAGACCTTTTAAATTGGACCTTGCATAGCTTTAACTCCATCAGTGCAGATGTCGATGCACTTTTTCCAATCTATTTCATTACTTCAAATGAAATCATCGATTTTATTGAAAATATCAAAACCTGTAGTTGTATTTTTTAGGTTATTGCACATTAACAAATCTTCGCAAAGCTCAGCGTTGTACTGATATTTCATAAAAACTAAAAACCACTGTCAATCTGCTGACATCGGTGCTTTCATCTATTCTAAAATTAATGCTCTAACCAAGCATTAATTTTAGAATATCTTAGAATATTTTAGAATTAATTTTAGGTTAAATTGAAGTTTTACTAGACTACAGGTTCACTCAGCACTAACGGCACAAATAGACAGGTAAATCAAGTGGATAAACAAGTTGTTTGAACTTGTATAAGGGAAATCAGTGTTCATACTGGGATATTTTAAAGCAAGTTTTTGCCATTTCTTGTGTTAATAATTTACAGCAAATTCATTAACATATGTCATTTTATAATGAAAGTTAGATGTACCCCTTCGATTTATGCTCGTACCCCTACCACTGGTCTAGACTACTGTTTAAATGTCATCTGTATAACGTGATAACCACTGGTCTAGACTACTGTTTAAATGTCATCTGTAATCAACTGTGCCAGCATCAGTATAGTCAAATATTTTTCTACAGATCAGTAAAATTTTTTCACAGATCAGCACTGGTCCATGGACCAACAATTGGGAAACACTGCCTTAGAGGGTTTCACTTGTTTTCTCCCTTTTTTAATTTCTTCTTTTTGTTGTGAAAATTCTTGATCTAACCTACTGGAAATGCCTCGCAATGTCAACTCTCTCTGGGATAGAGATAGTCTCCTATCTATGATGACTTTTTGAGGTGTCCTTTTTTGTTCTTTTTCTTTTTCTCCAACTCATGGTTCTCTAAGGGCTAACCAATTAAGGTTGAAATTTTGGTCAGTTGATCCCTCTAAACCAGTAATATGAAGTTTTTTCCATTTTTTTTTTTGTAAAACAAAATGTAGATGATCCAGTTCTTTATTACCTGGAACGATTATTGTAATGAGCAGAAGAGCTTCCACAAAGGAAGATATGGCCAAGAAAATTTGGTTTGTTCTCAATAATTAAGTATGTTAAATGTATTAAAATTAATTTTAAAAAATTTCAAAGCCAAATCCTCACAGTGACTTCTTTTAAACTCTTCTTTTTCCTTGATAAAGTAAATAAAAGCATTAATTTTAATTTTACAGTAAAAGAATTTGGATGCTCAGTGCCAAAGATGCAAAATAGCTTAAATAAATATACTAAATACTTTTTTTTAAAATATTTAATCTCTAATACTAATAATTTAATAGACAATTTGGCATTAGAGTTAGGCGTTAGGTGCCATCTCTTGATAAATTTAATAATTATAAATTAATTAAATAATTTCAAATAATAGTTTAGAATTACTGGAAGAAAAGAATTGGCCCGAAGTGGGACTTGAACCCGCAACTCCTGCTTACCATGCAGATGTGTGGCCAATTATGCTACCCGGACCTTCAGTCCAATCTCCTCTTCCAGCATATATAAGTTATAATAACCATCGATGGTTATATCATTAGCTTAAGAGGAGATCAGACCAAAGTTCCAGGTAGCATAATTGGCAACACATCTGCACGGTAAGCAGGAGTTGCGGGTTGAAGTCCCACTTCAGGCCGATTCTTTTCTTCCAGTAATTCTTAATTATTATTTAAAATTATTTAGTTAATTTATAATTATTAAATTTATCAAGAAATGGTGCTTAACACCTAACTCTAATGCCAAATTGTCTATTAAATTATTAGTATTATAGCCGTTTCTAGCCTGATAATATACAGCTTTGGTAGATGGATAGCTTTAATCATGTTGGGTATGTAAAGATGTTTGATTACTTATATGTTTTACTATCTGAAAATATTTTATAAGTTTGCTTTTCAAAATTATTTAAATAATAATAAAATTCAAATTAAATTGTTAATTATAGCTATATTTTCAAAAATTGGGAACTAAAATGTGGAAACTGTCCATAAATTAAACATAAATTACTTTTTGTAATCATCAAAAATAGTTACCACTGAAAGAAATTAATACAAAACTTTGAGAAATTGAAATCTAATATATAATCAGTAATTATTTTTAGTTAACTAATAAAACTAAGAGCTTATATCCATTTTTAAGAAATATGCAAAGTTATGATATACCAGAATTTAAGTTATAAAATATTTTGAGGTTTTTGAGAAAAGTTAAAATTTTGCATTGAGCAAATTTATGCTTATAAAACAACTTCTAGCACCTTTGTTTTTCAAAAATACAAATATTTTGGTCTCTTCAGAGGCCTTCTTCAGGTATTAGAATAACACTTGAAGAGGTTCAGTTGAATAATAAATACATCTTGTTCTAATATCTGTAGAGGCCTCTGAAGAGACCAAAATATTTGCATTTTTGAGAAATGAAGGTTCTGGAAGTGGTGTTATAAGCATAAGTTTTCTCTAAGATAAGGTTCCAGCTTATGTTGAGATTTATGTTGCATTGAAATGTTTAATATTTATATTTATAAATGCAACTTCTGAATATTTTTATTATAAAATTGTTTTATATTGTAATTCTATGATAATATTTTGAATATTTTATATACACCATTAGCAATACTATATAAGACACACTGTAAATTGTTAAACATTTCAAGTTAAAAATAAATAATTTCTTACCAATCAGTCATTTCAATTTTCTCTACTACCCAATTTAATTTCTAAAATAAACAAAAGAAATGCAAGATATTATTCATTTATCTTTGCTTAAGAAAAAATACAACAACACTTACTTCTGAAAGAGTTAACCTTTCAATACCATTGGCAGTCCAATCAACAGATACAGTAAATGGAATTTTTGATAACAATAGATAAAGCTTCAAAAAATAAATAATTGTTTATAATAAAAATTATTTATATTAAAAACACTGAATAATTAAAACAATAACTTTTGTACCTCTTCTAAACAATTAGGTTGAGTTTCATTCTGAATCATCATCCTCAACAGGAAGTTTATTAAGCATCTTGAATTAACAATAATATCTAACAATGTATTTTTATTTTTACATACATCTGGCCACTTCCATTGACTACTGACAGGAATGGCATTAAATGTTATAGGTTTTGATAAATCAGATATTATCCAATATAAAAAATTTAAAGCAACTATTCTGACTTCGTAGTAATTTGATTTCAATACATCTTTTAATAAATTACATATATTTTCTTCAGGAAGTAAAATTTTAGTCATAAGTAACAATGATGTTCTAGCAGTTAATGTTAAATATTGTATTCTTCCGGGAACTGATATATCACAAAAATTTTCTTGAATAGTAAATTCTTTATGGCAATCATGCAACATTTCCATTTCTAAATAAGAACAAAATTATATTATTAAAACAAAGAAATAAAATATTATATAAAATTCAACTTTAAAAGCCTTTCTTAGANAGTTTTTTTCGTCTGTTAAGCACATCCTTTGAGGATTTCCTTATCGTGTATACCAGCCTTTAGAAGGGATTTTTCAAAAATTTCCCTGGGGGGGCTTAACCTGAAGAACGGCTTCTACTGTACTATTTATATGCAATTTTTTGTTTTCAACTACATTTAGTCTTCATTGAGTACTTAGGTGTATTAAATTGATAACATTCCAACATTGTTATGAATATTTTTATATATTTCAATTTTTTAACCAAATGTTCAAACCGTTTTAAATTCAAATTTGTTATTGCATATTGGTTTGATTATAGAACGATTGTAAACGTTCCAGAAAATTGATCAAATTCAAAACAGTTTGTTTGATTCTCAGCAATTCTCATTATTCTCAGCAGTAGGTGTTATATAACAATTACTATAGTTGTTGAAATACTAAATATAAATGGGGTTTGCTTGCAAAACCACCACGAGCGAAGTCACGGGTAACAGCTAGTATTATTATAAATATGTATTTCAATTTTCATGATGTTCACTGAATTTGAAAATACTATTACTTAGAAATGAATTTTTAGGTTATATCTTTATTTTAAAATAAA